ATTATGTGTATAGTACTCCAAAGTACTCCACGGTTTTGTTTTATCGGTCGTCATGGTTGGAGAATGCACTACTCTGATATGCACCCCCACTGGTATTCCTTTTCTCGAGACGAATATAGCATTCCTACTCATCTTGTCCTGCCGCACTCGCGTGTTTCAATCCCCGACACCACCGACCATGTTCACCATCGCTGTTACCAAATAACCTTTGATTTTCTCCAACCCTATCCCCGAAAGTTCACCGTACGATTTTGTACTCAACAAAAAAAATGAAACAAAAGCTTACCATTACTAGCTGAAAACTCTGCAATGTTAGCTTTGGAAGAATCTCAGAAACAAGCATCACAATCGATTTCAAATGTGATGCGATCATCAAAGGAGGATTGTTTGTTAGTACGGCTATCATCGCGTACTGTTTTGTGTCTCTTAGGAGCACCCCATTTCACATTACCGTCGGTAATTGGTTGCTGGTTACCTGCATAGCAGTTATGCTTTCCGACGTACAGGATTTTTTCTTGGCTTTTCCCAGTTTATTTATGACTTTTATCATTGGTATACTACTACAGCCCGGTGACTTGTATATATGACACCCATTGAGCTACACAGGATGTCTTTTGTGAAGCCTCGATATCACTTGATGCTTTCAACATTTGATCACATAAGTCAATCAAAGTCCAAGCTCATCGTCCTCAAGGTTACTTTTTTGACTCAAGTGGGTGCCTCAATACGCAAAATGATGATGTAGTGAGTAATAAATTAAGTAATCTATCCCAACAGCCGGGCCTACACTTCGCTTTGTCCGTTGCCTTGCGGTCAGGTTCCATTTAGGTCCAAAAACTTTCAGTGAGAACGCTAATCATTCTCCCGCCCGGTAATGCCCGTCCATCAAACTCCAAGGCATACACAAACTAAAATTATTCCTTTATTTCATTGTTTCAGGATCACGCTGTCCATTGCATCGAGCAGGGTGGGTGCTCAGACTTCCCACCCTTCTCCCTATGCCTCTTCTTCTGACCCGTACCATTCCCCTAGACAACTTGTTCTTCACTCGCCAAATTTCGTTGCCACGTAGCGCAGTTAGTAGTTCACCGCAAAATATATTGCGGACTATGAGGCCTTGCCATTTGCTTCACTTATCGATCGGAACTGCCACCTGTGTGCTATGCAGCTCCAAGTGTGAACGAGCGTCTAGAAAGGAACCAACGCAATAGGTATATGATCGTTATCTCAGGATATGCACCGATCAGCTGCAGTGCTGATGCACAAAAGACGACCAACTCACCGAACTCATTTTTTTAGCCAAAGCCCCTATCTATTTATGCTCGCAGGTAATTTTATTTCACAGTTTGATAAAACAGATCTTAGGTTTACCTGTGCGGTCGTCAACGGCGATCGACTTGTTCAGTTTTGCGTTTAATATCACTCGCTTCTGTCAGGTACCAACTTTTGACGGACGGCAACGTGGGACTCTAGCTTAACGGGCGAGCTGGCTGAAATCGAGGAGATAGTAATGCACCTTCGTTGGCGTAACACAGAACAAAATTGCAGATCCTACTGAACCCCCACGTTCAATATGATCACGCCTTCGCTTCAATGCACTTCACTCTTCGACTCACTTTCGCCGACGAAACCAGCAATCGCCTTTTACTAATCTGGTGCTCACTGTGCTTCATGGTTAAGGGCACTTCAATATAGTGACGTAAATGAGCAGTGGGATCCGATTGGAATTTCTACGTATTCTGCAACCAACGTCGCTTGTGGAGCGTCAAGTCCTTCCGTGACATCCGTATCAGTAGCCCCGATAGAGAACTGACAAATCGTGATAGGTCAGGATAAAAATGACGGTAAGTAACGTCTGCGACGTCAGTTCACCTACAGCCTTGGGAATGATCGTTAAAACTGATGGACAAAATTAGCCGGTGAAATGGAACTGGCCACTACATTAGGAAACAATCAGACTGTTTTATCAGATACACAACAGCGGAAATCGGCGGACCCTGATTATTAAAAGAATCTGCGTTACAACTATAACCTTAGCATAAAGAAAAACGGCATAACCGCTGGCTATCTTGGCCCTGATCATTTCGTTTCCTATAGCCCCTCGGGCAGTGTTCAATCCTTTGACAGAAGCAAAAGTGCATTCAATCTTGTAGGAGATAATTGTACACACTTCCCAGGCTCGAGCAGCGTGCACCAGACTGAAACACATTTGGCGTCGATGTAACGTTTCACTGCAGTTGGAAGTTCGCTTGCATTTTGCCTTCATTCTGCGAATTCTGCTTTACTATTGTGAGACATTGAATTTACAAAGTGAATAAATCCATCGAAGAGAGGTTTCGACAATAGATGCCTACGTAGTTTGCCGCAGGGGGATGGATTGAGCGGGTTTGTAACCTCTAGTTAGGTCATCGTATGTTCGACAATGCACCGATGAAAAAATCCCTATCACGTCGAATTCGACTTAGGAATCTTCGTTGGTTTAGGCACGTATAACGCATGTACAGTTGTCATATGCCGTACCGTGCTTCAGTTACCATTTCTATTCCAAATTGCTGAAATTCACTTGCAGACGGAGACGAGGCATGAACAAATGCACAAAGTGATGGTGTGCCTCGTGTCTTGTAGGTTTTAGTCGAAAAACCCATGTGACTCGTTGGGGATGCTAAAGGAAATATTGACTAACCAACTACAGTGGTGTTCTTGTTATCCTTTGTTATATGAATTCCTGCTGCTTATAGAGGTGTGCATGCACAGTTAGACTGTGTATCCTGCATGTCGACACTGTCTATCCCTCCAAACAGGTTCACTCCCAAGTCATCTTAGACATTACAACATACTTTGCCTGCACTGTTAGTTTGAGTTTGCCGGAAGTTCGCTTCACTGGATTTTGTTGTATGAAGATGTTGTTGATCTAATAATAATTGCGTTCAATCCGGAAAGACTTGATCAGCCGTATGTGTTGCATGTAATCATTTTCAAACTTTGCAAACTAGTGAACTTCATGATTGCGAAATCATGTCAGTTGTCAATCAAGATCGGGGTGAGCAACACAGAGCACTTAACTTGCGAATGGCATAGCCTGTAACTAGCGTTTTCTCATCATGCTCATTAACCACGTTACCAGTTTGTAACCGTTAATCACAGCAAACTGCCAGCGATCCATTTCCCTTGGTCATTTTCTGTTGTTTCACGTTACCTCGTTCGTTTCTTCCTTTCTCTCTCCCTTCATTCTGTTTCAATAATGATCGCATCACGTCTCTGCGTATCTCAGACACACGTGTGCATTCGACGAATAGCTACTAAAGATGCCAGCGTCACTCAAATGGCTCTTGAACCTTCTGAACGTTCGTTGTTTGTTGGCTACTATGACAACTGTTTAGCAGAATTCGATACTCGGGTAAGTCTAGCTTGGTGCGGTCTAATCGAACGTCACCTTTTGACTGTGATCAACTTGGCAATCCGTCCGAATTTGTGTGCTACTAGGTTACACCTACCTAATCTGTGATCCTTACTTCTTACGAGAATCAGGTAGGCGTTTTTATGATTGAACTCCGAGAAAACCGTGTTATTATCATTCTTGGTAGCAGTAGCATCATTCTGACGACCTTTACATTTTATGTAGGTGTCTACCCCAGGTTCCATAAATTATCAGTACATCTCGCCGACTATTTGTTTCGTTTCTTCAACTTTTTATCAACACATCTTCAGTACCACTCGATAATTGTCTTAAAGCGCTTTTCTGTCTCCCTCATATATATATATATATATATATATATATATATATGGCCTTGAATGAAATTATAGTTAAATTTGGTCTTTCACTGAGGTCGTGAATCTTGCTAACAGTCGTCAGTTGATGGAAGTCATACGAGGAGACATAGTTATTTAATGACCAGACTTGAAGAAATACACAAAGCTCAAGCAAAACGGGTCTATCTCACTGCGGTCCGTTAGGCCTGCAATCTATTTGTGTGCAACTCTCGAAATTATCACAGCAATGGAGTTATCTCCATTTGTAATTGCTTGAAGGCTTAGGAGTGCAGTACTAAATTTCATACACCTCTGAGTACAAACCGTGTACCAAATAAACCACAGTGCAATAATTTTAACAGCGAAGAAACCGATTCTTCAGTTCCTTGTGGAGAAAGCGGGTAAGTTTTTGGAGAATTCCCAACCGGAGTCTTCAGCTATCCGTTGCGTGATTTCTAGGGTAGCGGAGCGGTGTTTGAAAACTTTAATTCATTGGGTACCTGTGTCCAGTTCGTCTCATTATACGTCCTTTGGACGAGGACAAATGTTCAACGTGTCCAATTTGGCCGGCAATCACTGCCACAACCAAGAAACTGTTCGCGGTTCGCACGTTTATTCTTGGTTGGTTTGGAATCAGGGGTTTTAGCCCACTCTTCTAGGTGAACTATTAGTGGTTCACCCGCCCAGTGCTAATTTAAGTTATCGGTTTGCTCTCAATCAATCATAAATATTATGTATACGATGAACTAACATACCGCACATAACCAGTTGTCTGCTTCTTCCCACTCCATGAATCTTCTGACACAGACGGGTGCTTTGCTGTTTGAAAAATACTTCGCGCAGCGTATCGTAGCGATAGCCGTGCCTCCTCTGCGTGATGTCTCTTTCCTCTATTTCGGTATGTCCAACGGGGATATCTTGCGACACGATATCGGGTCGCGTTCTGTGAGCGTTCTTTACGACCGATCTCTAAACTGTTCGGATTCAAATGGCCAAGCTCATCCCACGGTTGGAATCAGCTCAATGGCTATTGTGCAATCGGGCGCTCGTTTGTTGTTGATAGTCGGTGATCAGGTAAGTGAGCTCGATCGTATCTGGTGACGCTTTTTTATTGTGCTGTTCTACCAAAGTATCAGTCTGTTCACAAGAGACGTAATGCACCCGGTTCAGTATAGTCACTAAGAGTCAATTAATGATCTACATTTTTTCCCATCCAGCTCTGACCAAAACCTGCGATATTTAGCATCGACCCGTAATCCTTTAGCCCAAACCCCGGAATGCTTTAGCCTGGAGCCACAATTAACCTTGACCCGTAGTCCGTTAACCTCAGTCCTATCACTGTAAGCGAGTCAGATCAGGGAAACGAAAGTTGAAAAAAAAAAATTATTTTCTACAAATGTTGATTTTGCAAAGCTTGGTTAGGAAATGAGATGTGGCGGTCGCATGCTGCACCACATATTGATTGGAGTAGGTTTGAACGATGTGACCTTATTTTTAAACCATTTGACACACCTCGTACAGATTCAGTGTTTTCGTATAACATGCGATACTCCTGTGAGTAAAACTCTCAAATGCAACACGAACGGTACATTGTTTCGTATTCACAAGCTCTGAAATAAATCAAAAAGTGACGTCACAAAAAAGGAATGCTAACCGTTCCGTAGCTTCACCTACAGTGAACTCTGTTCACGAGAAGTGGATAAATTAACATGTCGACAATAATAAACACTGTTCACATGGAATACCCCCTTTGGTACACCGTTTCTCATCCAGCTTTAGACAAAACAAGTAATTCCTAAGCTTCGACCGTAGTAATTATGTCGAATGTTACAGCCTTATTATACTGATGACACCAATGGGGGTGTATTTTTGTGAACGGATAAGGTCGAGTTTATGCTGCAACAATCAGAACTCGTTTTATCGCTGTTAGGATTATTGCTCTGTGAATTATTCGGCTCACGTGAAATATGATAATAATAATAATGGAATTTCGACCGATTCAGTCAATGTTCGCACTGGGTTGGTAAGAGCATTGTTCTGTGTTGTAAGATCATTGAAAATCGACCTTTGTATCGAGTTAATTGAGCCAGGATGTACTTAATCTAAATAGTACCTTCAAAAATTCCATCCATTACAGGCCTTGTTTAGTGTACCGGATTGACGTCCAGTGATAAAGTGACGTGTACAAAATGATCCCCAAGTTCAGGTAAATAGAGCACGAGTTCGATAATCTACATGTACCGGGGTGCAGATAAACAAACAATATGTGCAGCATACCTCAAGTTTCTTTTCGATTTTACTTCCTTTTATTGAATACACAATGATACAATTTTCAAGAAGGAGGAAGCGACCAATCAAAGGGCTGCCATGGGGAAAGTCAGGCGATGGTTGTGGGATTAGAATACACGTCCCGCGGCGTGGTAATTTGGTGACGTTACCACCGGGCCACCACCGCCACACTGGCTCAGAAACAAGGCAACTTAGGACAGAGTGGAACGGGATAACGAATCAGGCCACTCACTAGGCACCGTCGAACCAGAGAACGAGGAACATGAAAGGAAACAGCGTGTTTAAAGGAGTTAACTGACCATTCACCGTCACTCGATCCGTAAACATGCTCACTAATCGGTAAAGTATGTACGGATGCGTCTTACTGGGACAAGGATTACACAAGATGTAATAGGGCAAAATGAAATGGCTCAAAC